ACATAAACACTACATACACAGGCGCAGACATGTGTATATACATTTTTTACATTTGTGTACATATTTGTATGCATATATACATATATATTAATATATACGTATATGTATGTATATGTAATATATATGTATATTTATATGTGTATGTATATTCATACATATATATATATAAATATCTACATATATATATATATTCATTTGTAAGTATATTATATAATATATATATATACACATTACATATGCATATTTATGCAATTTTATACATATACATATACATATATATACATATATATACATATATATAGATATGTAGATGAGTTTGTATTTACACGTATAAATATGTCATATTTGTGTTGATGGCTAGGTGGGCATCGTGCCACAGAACTTCATGTGTGCCGTGCTGCCGTGCGCGGCCTTGCTGAAGCTGCATGGAGACTTGGGAGGTTGGCTTTGCTGGTCATCCGATTGGCAACGGGTCAAATCCCCGAAATAAATGGAGGTTTGAATGGGAAAGTTACCCTCTGGTAAACTAACATAGCTATTGAAAATGACCATTTATAGTGGATTTTCCCATTTAAAATGGTGATTTTCCATAGCTATGTTAAATTACCAGAGGGTATATATATATATATACATATGGGAAAGATGTGGGTGGTTAGATATTTGGAAGATGGGCAAGCCCCAAGCTAACTTATATCACCTCCCCCACCCAGTGTTTTCAAGTATTCTATATGTGCACGTTTCAGAGATGTTGTGCACGTTTTCCAGCAGTTGTGCACGTTTCGCAGAAGTTGTGCACGTTTCACAAAAGTTCTGCACTTTTCACAGAAGCTGTGCACGTTTCACAAGCCCCCTAATAATGTTCGTGTTCAACTGCATTGGGGGGACAAACACGTTCTTCTGATATATATATATATATATACATAAATGGGGAATGTTAAAATGCCACGTTTGATTTCCAAAGGCTGGTACAAGGCTTACAGACAAAGGATGTAAAAAAGGAATTAATGTTGACCTACGATTTTTCAATGCCCCCTGAATAAAGCTAACCAAACTCCCAAAACAAATAATAAATGACCCCTAAATAAAGCTATATAAACTTTTTTGGCCCTAGATGGGGCTGAAAAAAAATGTCCATGCTTTATTTGAGGTGGCTTTCATGTACTAATTCATACTGCCAGCTCATTAGATCTTACCTTGATAACTTTAAATTTTCAAAAATAATGGATGCTCTTTCTATTCAAATCCTTTATTCACAATTATCCAAAATCAATCCCAAATCAACTCGTCAAGGGTACCCCCCATGAGGTGCCTTAGCACTAATTAGAGTTTGACCCTGAATTAAGCTTTTTTTTTGCCCTAAACCCAGATTTGCCCAGATGGGGCTGAAAAAAATACTAAATCAATACTAAATCCATGACATGAATACTAAATCAATACTAAATCCATGACATGAATACTAAATCAATACTAAATCCATGACATGAATACTAAATCAATACTAAATCCATGGCATGAATATAAATCAATACTAAATCCATGACATGAATACTAAATCAATACTACAGTAAATTCATGAAATGAGGACTAGATCAATACTAAAACAATTGTTGGATTCCTTTTTTTTTGAAATTGCATTTTACGTACTTGTTTTAATTTGTGGTAATTGAAAACCAATACATACAAACAAGTTTGATGGTGGCTTTAAGTCTATTTAGGGGAAAAGACAGAGGGGGGCCCTATTTATAAATCAGAGGTGGGCATTATTTTGTGGTTAGCAGAATGGTTCGCGCAACGGTTACTTCTACCAAATATGGGTGATACCTGGTTGGTGGTTTGGAACATGAATTTTATTTTCCATACATTGGGAATGTCATAACCCCAACTGAACTCATATTTTTCAGAGGGGTAAGTATACCACCAACCACTATAATCCCAAAATCCATCAAAAATTCCATGTTTTCCGATATATTCATTTATTTCCCCAGATTTTCCCTGGTTTATATATTGGATGATTTGCTCAACGCCAAGATTGTTTACAACGTTTACATATCCCACAACGTTTACATAGCGAACTGGAAAATCACCATTTGGAATAGGTAAATCAACGAACTGAATGGACCATTTCCAATAGCCAACAAATTACCAGTGATCTATCGCAGACGCGTGTGTTTCTTTGAAATTCGTAGGGCTTCCCATTTGCAAGGAAATGTGTGGGATATTTTTCGGCAAATGGTTATCACTACTGAGTAGTTTTCTTCTTCTGTGAATATGAACCTGCTGTAATGTTTTTTACTATTTAGTTCGATATATATATATGAATTTGTCTGAAAATAGGGTACCTCTACATATGTAAAATGAACTGGGTAATCAGCATTCTCCTCTTTTGAACATTCCCAGTTGGGGATAAACATTCTTTTTTCAGACAATCCCATATCATCATCATAGTCTCCCTGGTTTAATCAACTGATGGTTTAAAAAAACCTATACCCTCTGGTTATGTCAAAATAGCTATTGAAAATGGCCATAGAAATATTGAGGTTTCCCATGAAACATGGTGATTTTCCATACTTACGTAAACGTTTACCAGAGGGTAGTAAATTTCTGTGACCTTTCACATCATTTCACCATGGGAGGCTTTCGAAGTTGCATCCTTTGGTTGCTGATCGTCACCTTCGCTATCTATGGCCTGGGTGCAACTGTGGCGGCTGTGTTGGAGAATGTGCCATGGATTTGCTGAAAATCGGCAGGAAAAGTGAAGAAACATGTTTTCTTGAAGAGAAAATCTGTAGGAAACCCTGGTTTTATTGGCTTTTAACTGTGTTTCAACCATGTTTTTGAACGGAACATGTACTGCAAACCATGGATTTTAGTTGTTTTTATTCCCAAACCATCCAAATCTCTAGCGGTTTCCTATGGTTGTCCGATTTTCCCTTCAATACTGGGATTCTTTTCTTATGATGATCAATCGGACTACTAGGAAAATAAGGAACTTGGAATCTACCTGGCTTATTTCGCAGTTGGGAATCTATATTGGGATTACGTGTTTCGTTTTAGTGGCCCCCTTGAACAGAGCAAAGGTGTCGAATCAGCTGGGACTCGACGTCGCATAAGGTGAAGCATTGACTAATTGAGTACCTTGGCTCACCCGCAGCCCTGTTTGAAACTGGAATTAGTGGTGGTGATTCTTGGTTGTGCCATCCCTAAGTGAGCTGGTGATTTTGACCAGCCTTTCTGATGTGCAGCCACTCTTGCGACTTTCATTCTTTGGATTTTTCCGCATTCTTAAAACCAGTGCCCCGTTGAAATGGTTCATCTGCGACATGTACAGATGCACAGACGCAGTGACCACTCCGTTCAGCGGAAATTGAGATGGCCTTTGCTGTGATTTCTTTGTATAGAGCCGTACGGCTGCCGGTGCTCCTGCGACCGGATGCCATTTTGACATCTCTTGACCGCCTCTCTCACCAGGTTAGGTGAAGGCAGGCAAGTTGAAAAACTTGGGAGGTAGGGTTGTGTCACTGGTGATAGTTGTAATATGTTGTAATGGTGATGACACATTAATTAAAACAAATGTAGATGGTAGCCCTCGTTCTCTCAAAACATTTGGTGACTGCTATGACCATAATTTCTGTTATTTCACCAGGTTCATCGGCCAATTTGGAGCCATAAATGGCAACACGGCATACATATATACATTTGATTACATTTGTATGTGGGTATATGTGTGTGTGCAGTTGTATCTATATAAATTATATATGCGTTGATTCTTGTTGGGAAGCTAGCTAAGGTAAGGCTACGAATCCCAAGGCTTTCGTAGAAGAATCTCAAGAGTTCATTTCCAGCAAAGCAAGTCCCTGATGAACGCGTGATTGCTTTAAAGTTTAAACGCTGAGTATGCCACGAAGTAATTCATAGTAAATCTACTGGTGATCATTCCATTCACCAAAAAACCACAATTTTTGTTGGTGCGTTTTTTTTTCAACCAACACTGCCGTTTTTAGTTGGAATTCATTTCTAATACGAATGTATTTCCACTAGAATCCCATGATTTCCCATTACTTCCCGTTAAAGCCCTATTTTTCCGATTAAAATCACCACCTTTGTGACTTAAATACCCCAGAAAGCGCTGCTACAACGTACCCTTGGCCTGCTCCTTCAACGCAGGCCTTAGCTGCGTTGCCTGAAGCCGCACGAGCAGCCCGACAAGTTGGGAGAAGAAAATTACCATGGTTTCCTATTGTAGTTTTGGGGCCCCAGTTCGTTGGCTAAGTTGATGCAAATAACTATAATATCCATGTAGTGTATGATACCCAAATAACATCAAATAACTATATTTTGATGGGGCCCCATATACAACAAACATAACTGGAGGGCCCCATCCTGTAGTAGTTTTGGATATGATTACTCTGCTATCCCGGAAAATCTTGGTAAGGGAGAAATTGACCATGAAATCTAGGGGTAAATCATCCAAAAATTGTGGATTTTCCACTGCCATGTTTGAACATGATACTTCAAAACTACTGTCAATATAGGCGCTTTACTTCTTGGTGGTTGCATGATGCATGTGTGATGATCCTCCCTGGGCGTCTTGGAGGATACGACCCAGACATATATTCGGAACAAACCCGCGTTGCGCGGAGCTTGAATATATCCTCCCCGATTTTTCAGCATAGATCCTGAAGATAGATAAAACTTTAGTGGAAACTCATCTTCCAACCCCCTGTCTGGCATTTGGCAGGGTCTATCAAAAAATTGGGGGGATGGTATCTCAATTTTTGATCGCCAAGATACGGGTATTTCTGGACCGTTGCACACAGATATGTCGGAAGATCATTGCTGATGAGGTTCCCAGATTGGATCCCCAGTTCAGATTCTTTGAGCCTGAAGCTGGAATTCCCTCAGCCCAACCATTGGTTGCAGTGAATGTTAAAAAACGGAGAACACCTAGTGTCAACCTTAACTCCAGTAGCCTACCTCCCCAGCAATTGGGGACAGACTTGTCAGTTTCGGGGTCGATGGACCACATGACATCCCCGTTTCGACTCCAGCGAGAAGAAACCCGAGGCTGGTAAAATTGCAAAGGTCAAGGAGGGGATCTTGAAGAGACTTAAGGCTCAGGCGCGGGAATGACAAGGGCCTGGTGGTTTCAAGATTGCTGTCTTTCCATAGGAGGATACCCTCTGGTAAACTAACGTAACTATGGAAAATCACCATTTTTAATGGGTAAATCCACTATAAATGGCAATTTTCAATAGCTACGTTAGTTTACCAGAGGGTAATCGCAATTGACAAACATCTATTTTTTCAGATGGGTTGAAACCACTGCCACATGCATCAGGCGATTTCCGCCGCTCCGCCAGTGGCGGTCCTAGAACCATGTGAGCAGTGGCTACACCCCGGTTGGTTGATGATTGTTGGGGGATTTTACTAGGAACATCTAGGAACTATAATGGGGAATACCAAAGTCCATGAGCTGGGAAATCCTATGAACCAATGAAGCAACTAGCATCAAGGGACGACACAGGGTTTTGAACACTGCCCTTGTGTTGTGGTGTTTTTGTTGACGTCATTTCACTGGCTGATGGATTGAGGTTTGGTAGCAATCTTGGTGCCCCGTTTGAATTTCGATTCCCAGATTCCAAATTGGGGATGTGCAATGACCGGAGGGGCCGTGGCCCTCGGATCAAGAGATTTCACCCTTGAGTTTGTTGAGCCATGTTGAGCCATTCGGTGTAGCTCGTAGTTAGCAGGTTCCGCAGTGCCCCCAACAAACTGCTGAAATAAGCCACAGAGTGCATATTTCATTTGCAGGTTGGCAAACCTCAAAATCTCATGTTCTTCAGGTGGTGGTTTCCAACATGTTTCCTCAGCTCTAAGAGTTTTTTACCCACCATTTTTTTCATTGAACTGTCAGCTACAGACTGGTGATACCTGTTTGCAGTTTTTTGTTGAATGCTAATATACGGGGATATGACGCCTCAACATGCCAAAACGACCGTCGACATGCCAAAAGGGTTGTTCCCGTCGACATGCCTAATACATGCACCAAAAAAATCAAAAAATGCATGTGGTTTGAATGAAGACGTTATTTTCTTGAATTGGTTGAAGAGAACATGTGCATGATCTTGCATTTGGATGTTTAAACCCTTGTTTTAAACATGTTCCCTTGACCCGATGCATTGATACTGGTTAAAACCTTATGTTTGATGGTCTTATCCTATAAATCATCAATCATCAATCCCTACAAATCTAAGTCTTGGTTGGTGAATTTCCAACTGTTTATAGCTGACCTCCGGCTGTATTGAAACTGGACGCAGCTGCATGTGCTGCATGCACTTAGGTGCCCAATGCGGGGCAGGTGTGAGAACTCCGGAACTGGGCTGGGAGGGTGCAAGTTGCTTACGTTGAAAGATAGACATGTGTAGGCTAAACCCTACCTAGTTTATAGTATATTTAATATTGGCTATGGTTGATGGTAGATATATCATATATCTATAGTAAAATTGCGAAATTTGCGGGAAAAAAACTATGGATGGAGTTGGTAGATGGTTTATCCCCCATGTCAACTAATGGGTTTATAGTTACAAATAGTTGCCAACTGGTGCAGGATTTTGTCCATCCACAGCATGTTTGATCATAATTATGTAAGAATTTTACATGCTCAACCTCCAATCCTTAATTTGAAGACTGAGTGTTTGGCCACAAATAGGGGAGCACTTGCTGCGCGGCAAAACATGTAGGGTATCTAAGAGATCCTGAGATTGGCAATGCTTTTAACAGAAAATGAGACTGCAAAGCAGCATGTGGTCTTTTGCTTTTGACATTCCCTCCATAATTATATCGCTGTCTGTCCCAGCGTAGGCTTACTTACCTGAGTGGTACTAAGCATTACCATGTGACTAAATCTGCACCGTTTTGGAGGTTCAAAACAAATCTCGAAAAGCGGAGTTTACCATTGCGTTTACCACTTTTTGATGTTTGTCACCCGGTAACATCCCAGTTCTTGAGGTGCCCGTAGGCCCTGCCATGGCGTTCGGGTGCTTGGGTTGGGCGTTTGGCTGGGCAAGGGGCTAGAGGCGCGAATGGCGTCCTTGACCAATGAATGAATAGCATTGACGCAGCATTGAATAGCTATGAATAGCTGGTTACTGATTTCAGAGATTCTGATTGTTCCCCCCTAGGTGATCTTAGATACCTTGATGATCCACACTTGGAGAGGTGGGCCCTTTTTTCCACCATACCAAGCTTTTCGCCACGTGGCCATGGCAGAGGGGTGCAGGTCTTCAACGACACCATTGTTCATTGGTCATCGCCATTTGTATTGGTTACATTCCCTTTGTGGTTGCTTATGTGTCCATATATCTCCCAGGTGTTGTCCACTGTTGTTTTCCGTCAAAAATCTTCGCAGAGATTTTCACCACGACACGACGTCGGACTGGAAATGTCATCTCATGTCATCTCAGGAAGAGACGGGAAAGACTTGATGGTTCACTGGAAAATCCTGACTCTTGCGGGCTGTAACAAGCGCACATCATGTGAATTCATATGATTCCTCGATTCGTCAAAAGAATTTGGGGGAACATTTGATTTCGATTGTGATATCACTGACCCTTGCCCAACAACACCCCCTTCAAACCCTAGTTTACGGGTGGACTTCTTTACTTTGGGGTCTCATCCAAAAGACCGTCTGAAAATAGGGCACCTCTAAATCGATGAACCACCATTCTCCCACATTATCCCCACTAAAATAGCGACATGAGGGGTATACCACGGTATAACGATATAAAACTAGTGGTTCATCACCACAAATCACCATTATCCCCTACTGAAATGGCATAAAACTGCTATTTGAGGGGTACTATAACCCTATTTTCAGACCCCATCGTTGGGTGTCCTTTTCGCTGTCGCTGTTTGAAACAGCGCGCCGGGACGCGGGTAGCCCGGTGGTTGCAACCCGTTGCGACTTAGCGGCTGGTGCTTGGACTCGGCAGCATGGAACAACATCCCAACATTTCCAACTGGAAAACACATTTTTTTGAAACATCTATGATACATACATATATATATATATACATATACATACTGTTTTATATAATAGATATTTGGATTC